TTTTTTCTCTTTTCCCTCCTTTTTTAGTGTTGTTCCCCACCAAAGACAACCTCCCCCAAACAGCCCCCCCTGGGGGGGGGTGGGGGTATTGTGGGAGGTGAAGTCCACACATCTTAAAGTGGCCAAGGTTGAGAAACACTGACTTATACAATATTATACAATCATTCTGTTCTGGCTTATGTACAAATTCGATTTAAGGACAGACCCTGGGAGTGGGACTTGTTCTTAAACTGGGGGACTCCCTGTATTCCTAAAGTAAGGTACCCCTTGCTAAATCTGGCTAGTGTTAATGCTGAATGGTTGGTTTGATTGAGAATGGAGTTCCAACTTCCTCTACCCACTTAGTTTATGATTCCATATGTTGGGTAAATCCAGAAAATGACTCAATGCAGTAACCGGGTTAAGCATGCTAGGCAAATGCTACTCTGGCCTCAGGCGAGCCCAGCTGGAGGAGGCGGAAGGGGACCTTAAAGGAAAGTGTTTATTAATTAGTAAAAAAACAAATTAGAAAGACAATCTCCATTTGAATCATGCTGGCCCATTGGGAAACTGACTTGCAGACCCTTGAAGCAAAAAAAGATGGCCAGCGTCCCATGGATGTGGCTGATAGGGCAAGAGATCCATGCACTCCCTCTTTGCACAGCAATGCCCCATTAACAGTTGCTAACCGAGGTGTCCACAGGAAGGGGATCAAAAAGGTCAAGATGGCAGCCTCAGCAATGCAATTGAAGCCCCCCCCTTTTTTTGCATCCCATCTGTCACACAGTAGCAGCCATCATCTTGACTTTTGTAACCTTTTTGACCCTCTCTCAATGGACAGCCGTGGTTGCTAACTAACAGCTGCAGGTGACCTCACCAGGGAGACAAGATTGGAAAGGGTCAAAGCCAGGTAGATGGTCACGGTCTCGTTCTTGGACACCACCGGTCGCAGTTTATTGTCATACTGTCTGTCCTTGAAAAGAAACTCGATCAGCTGCTTCTCCATGTTCACGCCCAGGACACCTGCAAGGATATGGAGAGAAGTTAGCTGAGCAGGCCGGGCTGTTGGGGAGACACTGTCTGGAAGATGCCAAAACAACTAAGGCTGGGGAATTCTGGGAGTTGAAGTCCACCCAGCTCAAAGTGGCTGAGGTTGAGAAACACTGTTATAGATCACAAGGCCCACAATTGCATTGATTCTTTGCTTTTCTGTCCAAAGGTTTAGCCCAGTGTTTCTCAACATTGACAACTTTAAGATGCGTGGACTT